TCTCGTTTTTTGAGACTACTTGTATATATATATTTGTTTAGAGCCTGACTCTATATCTATATTTTTTTTTGCTTTTATCACTTGTTTGCACCATGAGCCAAAGCACATTTCTAGTTTGTGACTTCTTGTTACTTACAATGGTGTTAACAATTATTCTGATTCTCTAATTCAGAGTATTTTAATCCGTATATTTGCAATGCAGTGCTATTTAATATTAATTTGTGCACACAGCGTTAAAAGGAAAACTGTTGCAGTGAATGTTTTGTCTTTTTGCACACGCCCCATTAGATTTATTAGATTAGATTCATTAGATTAGAAGAGAATGCGTATGAAAAAATATCACAAAACTCTAAAAATAAAACCGTTTAAGAGCATGAGGAATAAAAGACCGCTCATGCTCGATAACCGCTGTCTGCGCTGCCTCATTTCATTGTTATTTCATTATTTTTCATAATATCATGAAGTCAAAGTCACAGCACATGATCAGTTTTAAAGTTAAAGTAATCTGAATACCACAGAAAGAGAGTAACTTTACTTTAGTTATGTTAGGTTAAAGTGCACCTTATTGATTCCCTGGGACAATTCATCCTCTGCATTTGACCCATCCTGATGCCCTAAGGTTTACGTCAGGAGCAGTGGTCGCCGTAGTAACAGTGCCCGGGAACCCATTTCCAGATGTTGATGCTCGGCTTGGTCAGGACCGGAGCTGGAGGATTTGACCTAGTGAGCATGTTTTTAGTGGAAACCGGATTACCTGGAGGAAACCTTCGCAGGCACGGGGAGAACATGCAAACTCCACTCAGAAAGGCCCTGTTACGACCGGGATTCAAACCCAGGGCCTTCTTGTTGAGAAGCGGGAGTGCTAACCACCGTGCTGCCTATGTGGACAGGGATTCTGGCGTAGATGACAGTTATTCTTCTTTCATTACTCGCTTTTCTCACGTTTGATCTTGTTATCTAGTGAGAAAAAAACAAGTCTCTTTATCTTTATATTCTAATATTCATATGGCGTCTGTATCTGGACTCTTGTGTAAAGGTGCACTTTATTTATCCCCGTAGGACAATTCATCCACTGCATTTGACCCATTACGTCAGGAGCAGTGGTCGCCGTAGTAACAGCGCCCAGAAACCCACCTCTAGATGTTGATGCTCGGCCTGGTCAGGATCAGAGCTGGAGGATTTTACCTACTGTGCATGTTTTTATTGGTTGGGGAAACCGGAGAACATGCAAACTCCACTCAAGACCCCAAGTCCACCCCAAGGCCCTGTTACGACTGGGATCCGAACCCAGGACCTACTTGCTGAGATGCGGGAGTGCTGACCACTGTTGCGCTTGTAAGGTTTTGTTTATTGTATGTGCTATACAGGCAAAGTGGACTTTTATGTGAAGATCTCCTGCAGCTTGTCATTTTATTGTATGTACCGCACAGAAACACATTTATATTCTGTATGTTGATTAACTGCATAATGTCTTGTGTCTAGTGTTGACGTGTGAAAACAAATCAGCGTCTGCTTCATCCAACCCCTTTTCAAACCTGCATTTGTGTAAAGACATGTGAAATTGTCTTCTGCAGGCTTGAAATAATACTGACTAAATGTTATAATATACTTCCATTGTCCTCAAACACGCTGTAATGAGGTAAGATGGAAGACCAGTGACAGCCTTTCTTGTGTGGAGAGAAAACATATGCTAGCCTATGCTCAATTTTTGCAAAACTTAAATGAATTACCCAGATACACACATTGTATTCTTGAATATAGTCATTCCAGTCCAACAGTGTGTGTGTGTCTGTGTGTGTTTGCGTGTGTGTGTGTAAAGTTCAGCCTCTGCTCCGGGCTTGGTGTCTCATACCATCTCATTGCACAGACCGTTTCTCTCCCTCACTTTGCGACAGATGCAGACATAGTGAAAACACGGCGGTGAGGCCGAGTGGCACAATGATATGTTTATTGATAGGCTTTGGATATTTAGAAAAAGGTGTCTGCTGCTGGAATGTCACAACCATCGACAAAAAAAATAAAAAAACAGGGGAATCCTTTATCTACACACACACTCTTTCTCCCTCGCCATGCACGCCGCTCTGTCAAGAAGAGGGGGGGAAACTAACAGCAACGCACAAGACAAGACGCTATCACAGTTATCTACAAGCTCTTATCGACATAGAAAAAAAAATCACAGGTATACATTTAAAAGGGAGATTTTCTTTAGGCACAGCAAAAGCATAATAATGTGTTAAATCTTGACAAAAATAAAACATCTTGCACATTTTGAACCACAGGAGCCCAGTCTTTTCCCCTTTCCCTTCATATACACAGAGCTATAGTTAGGATTTACACAACTTGGGACGCACATTTAATATAAACGTCGTCCCAAGTCGGTCAGAAAAAATGGCTATTTCGCACTTGTCCAAACTACATACAGTACATAATCACACCACTGCTTAACATCAGCTTGTGGCTTTGAAATGACATGGAAATCCACGCAAAAACATTACTACAGACAATTTTAAGAGCGATTTGGGCTCTTTGTATGACAGGGATTCAAGTTCAAGTTCACTGCTTTGTCCCATTTGTGCAGGAGACTTTTCTGACCGGAAAAACCCACTGATTATTGATCGGTTATTACCCATCACGTTTGTCTTTTGGAAACGCTTGAGCCCAGACAATGTCCTTGCTTCCTCGATCCGAAAGACGGTGGTGTGTTATCGTTTTTATAGCTGGTGTTGATAGGACGCAGGAGTGACTTTGCAATCCGGATGACCAGTTATTGTTGCCATTAGAAACAGCCATGCAGTGAAACGAAAGTAGTGCAACGGTAGACAAATCTCACACACCTCACACATTGGAAATACAAAATGAAAATATTAAAACTGCAATTTCTTTTGTACAGTACCCTAAAGTCCTTACAACTTTTGCTCTCCGTATCAACAGTACAAGCTCATACTGCGATAAATAGTTGTGTGTGTGTGTGTGTGTGTCAGTCATATCAGGACATTATTATTCATAACATACATTCTTACCATTGCATACAACACCAAATGGGGCTTCATCCATTCCTTTATTTCACATAGACTGCTTACATCTAATACGTGGTGTGTACAAACGCCTGGTGTGGACCCATTTTCTCCATAATTATCATGAATGTTCAGTTCATGAATGTATGGTGAGGTCCATTTCATTCGTTCCCCACTGTACTGCACTTCCAGCCTTGGGGGTGAATGATTTTTTAGTCTAACCCAATTTTTCTTAAACTGCTGCGGGTCGGTCAGACACATACATTCAGGACGAGAAACGTAATTTAGATCATGTATGACCCACTGCGTTTCATTTCAATCTCAATACTGTTTTTGCCCTTTCCATAACCCGACCTGCTTTTCTACTTCTATACTGCAAATGGCTCCCGGCTGATTTTACACACTTTGTTTTTGCACAGTGATGCTATTGCTTCATATATGGCAGGTAGAGATGCTCAGTGGCAGTTTTAAAAGCACATTACTTATGAGAGGGGAGAGGATTTTCCCTTAACGCTCCAAGATTTAAAGTTGACAGCGTCGCCGCCACAGCCGAACGGTGACTCTCGGCGACTCTCTGCGGAAATGTTGTGTGTTCACCACGAGAACATGCGCCTTTGTTTGCTCTGCTCGGGTTTAGATAAGCCCTGTGTGTGTCAGCTCAGCAGATGGAGTCAGATTTTCACCACTCGGGAAATCTCAGTCCGACAATGCACCGGGAGCAGCGCCAAACGAGGGAGAGGTGATAATAACAAGCAGCCAATCATGACGAAAAACTGTACTCTGCCCCAAAAAGACTCATTTGTTCGCTCACTGTCACTGTGAAATGGTCTTGAGATATACGTTTATCAAAATATTATACACTAATTGCTATGGAGAGTTAAATGGGATACAATAAAGTGAACAGTAGTGTCGGAAAACTCTTGGCCTATCTCTCTGTATAAAGAATCAAATCTGTCGTGGGAATAATATGAGACGATGGAGAAGAGTAATAATAGTGAAATAAAAGTCAAAAATGTGAAATCACTTGACGGCTTTCATTTAAATAAAAAACCTCATCTGTGGATATGAGTCAAGGGTGATCCTGAAATATAAAACTGTCTTTGTAGCTTCATGAAAAGATAGTTTTATGTATTGCTTTGAGGAACCTTAGAAACAAGCTTGAATTTCTTTCAGAGAATTTTGCTCAAACCCACAATAAAAAGTAAATGAAATGCTTGAATTAGGTTCATTGTATTTATTTGTCTTAAAATAGGATTTGCCAATGTTTTGTCCGTCTCTTGAGAAAACCTTGCTTCTGCCAATTTATTTTTCTTTGTCTACAGGTCAACAAATTTCACTTGACACTAGACAAACATGACGTGTGTTTCAACATGAAACCTGGAATAGTGCTCCAAGTGAAATACTTAGGATGAGAAAGTATTGAGTTTGAGGCTTGGGAATAGCAACTACTTTAAGCAAAACATTAAACAGAACAATTAAATCTCTAATATTTAGGTTTTTTTCTAATCTAGTTTTATAATTTTAGCTCTAAAAATAAAACCAATAATCGTTTAGTATTGATTTTAAGGCAGAGTGAGTGCAGCTTTTCAGTGGTAAAACTCATTTATATGGTCAAATGACAGAGAATCCCTAATAATAACAACGGGTAACCATGACGACCAACAAAAATTCAGTTAATATCTATACAGAGTGCCTATAAGTGGATGTTTAGTGCTCACAGTGGAAAACAGAGCTGTCTCCAATCTCCCTTAGCCCTTCTTTGGCGAGTCTGCAACAAAAAGTCTTATACATTGCCGCTAACCAATCACATTTGTGGATATCAGATGGCCATATACAGTCTGTCAACATGAGGTATGAGAAACAGAAGATGAAAGGGCTGGAGGGCGGTGGTGGCTGGTTGTTTCGGGTCAAAAGTCTTTATTTTCATTCGAAGCCTTCATCTTTGAGTGGAGTCCATTGAGGTCGCCCACTTCTATTAGACCAGTGCTACTGCAGGCCCAGCAATCCAATGGAGGCTTCCCATAAGCTTAGCTGCAGCTGGGGGTCGGAAGTGGGGGCCGATGTCGTCTGCCTGCGTCCATTGGCCCAGTAGCCTCCAGCTCGCCCCCCCTCCAGCGCTGGTGACAGAGCGGCGTACAGGACCGTGGCCGCGCCCTCTTTAGGAGTCTGTGTGAAGGGTGAGAGGAAGAAGAAAGTCCTTTATTAGTCCCACAATGGTTTAATGCATACACACACACACACATACAGTACACACACATACAGTACACATACAGTACACATACACACACACATACAGTACACATAAACATACAGTACACATACACATACAGTACACATACACATACAGTACACATACACATACAGATACACATTATCTATAGTATTATAGTATATCTACAAGTGTTTTTCATGTGCGTTCGCTCTTGTCATAATTCTTACATAGATTTTTATTAAGACTGCTAAAAAGAAGTAGCTCTCTGCCTCTTCTGTTGTGTAAAAGTAGCTCTCCAATTGAAAAAGGTTGGAGACCCCTGTGTTAGTGGGTCTTGTTGACTCGGACAGAGAGCAGAAAGTGTCGGTGATAAAACGTGGAGAGGTACATTCAGCAACCGCTCAAACATTTCAGCTCCATAAAGTTTAATTTACAGAAGCCCCATTCACATAAACTAGTACGGTGCATTTCCCCAGCACTTTCTCAGGAGAATGTGTGTGTGAAAGGGGGATTTAGATTATCGCGCATATAAGCCTCCACGCCCAGATCGATAACGCTTTTTCCCAACGCAGCCCGGTGTTTTTTACGTGTTGAAATGTGTCGACAACAACGGAAATAAGTTGTTTGGACCTAGGTCGGCTTTGCATCAGGGGGAAGACGGATGTGTCAAAAAAACATGGTCAAAACAAACTTACAGCTATCAAAAGTAGTCTTTTAAAGCATTCCGGACCCAGGGAAATGCACTGTAATGGACTACGTATCACGGCCTCATGGCACCTTATATAATTTAGTGTTTTTAAATGTCATTCATAAGCTTTTTTACAAATCACAAAGATATACACAAAATGTAATGTATTAGTGATGTGAAAATAAAAAATAAAAATAAATAAATACATGTTACCAGAACAACTTTAAAGGAGCTATACTCATTTCTGCAGGTTTTTTTCAGTTTGAATGTTTAGCTCCGCCCCCAACTCGCTTCTCATTCCCCCTACTCCTTTCTCCTTCGCTCTCCTCCCACGGAGCCATCTAGTTTTATTTGCGATCTGATCATAGACTGTATATATTAACGGACAGAGTCACGCCTATCTCCGCCGTTCTAACTACTGTATAGGGCCAAAAAATGTGCTCTACTGGAGCTACCAAAATGGCCGCGAGTGGTCCCGCCCACAAGAAAATTGTGAAAAAACGCATCTGCGCATGCGTCAGCCGGCGCAGCTCCATTCATTTAAATGAGAGACTTCAAAAATTCACAGCAAGTAAACTAGAGTGGACCAAAAAAATCCAGCCCCCTCAGCATTGACCCACATGTGGAACGGAGCTTTGGGCCAAGAGCCAACTTTTGGTCCATCCTGTAAAGATGTTTTTGACAGGTCTGCCAATGCTATATGTTAGCATTGGCTAATTCTTCTTCTGGGTCCACCCCCATCGGCCCGAGGTGGTATTGGAAGCATGTCAGCGCACGTCATTTTGGCCACTTTTGAGCTGGGGCCCTCCCCCACTGGATCTGATATGTATGCTAACATTAGCATGAGCGCAACTTCTTGTAAGCTGTACAACAATCACCGATGAAATGGTACAAAAGCAGCGCACTGCTAACACAATATATAACTGAAAGATTACCGCTAGTTTCACGTCCAAATGTGGTCCGAGAATAGATAGTCCGAGTCATACACGAGCTGAATAAATGAGCTCAAGTTTTCACTTAAATTACGGATTATAATACAACTTGTATGTAGTAATCAGCATTTTTATAAACTCATTAAAAAAAAATCGGGTTTAGTAAATTTCTGTCTTTTGTACAGTGAGGATATAGCCATATTATTAGGAGTGAATTATAACATAAAAAGCCATTTATAAAGATATACTATCCAAAAGGCAAAGAGGTTTGAATCATACTAAACCATTCTTGACACAAAATGGCTTCCCCCAAGTAAAAAAAAGGCTTCTCATAAGACAACTGTATATTTTCACAAACTACATATTTACAATCAAAAGGACATAATGCTGTGTGGATCCTTACTATACTAAATTAACCACTAACTCAATAATGAAAAAATAAATCACTTTACGAGCAATATGCGTGTACTGGTCACCAATACATGTGTGTGAATGTTTTAAAACTACAACTAACAAAATATACAGAGTTGATTTTGAGTAATATTTCATTGTTAGATATGTCAAAATCAGGATCTACAGTAGGTGTCTGTGCTGCCACTTCATTATATATCCAAGGTTCAGGATGTAAAAAAAAGTCAGATTCCCCAGCTTTAGGTGATTCATTTTTTTAAATCTAACCCAATTGGATCCATAGACATCAAAAAGAATAGGAGCGATGACATGTTGACAGCACAACAACAAGTTTTCTCCTGCAAAACAAGCTGCTTCTAAGTGTGTTGTGTGAATGCCAGAGGAGGATGGACGTCGGAGGAGGTTAGCATCAGTCCAAGCGCGGCTGAGGGGAAATGTGTGTGTGCGTTCCCCCACAGATGTGTTTTAACAATGATCTCGGTGTCAGCCTTGAGACCAGCTGAGGGATTGGGAGCAGATCCTGGAAGCGTCAACATCACCACGGCTTTCCTCCCCTAAAAACCAAAGCGTGAGTAGGTACGGGCGGGATTATCAAAATGTCGTTTAAGTTTAATCAAAGTTTTTCTTTCTAGCACAACGCAACAGGGCATCTGCCAGGCTTCTCTCGCAGACGGGATAGTGACGGAAAAGAAAAAAAAGAGAGAACACTTTTATGTACTTGAGAGAAGAACTTGTTTCCATGACAACCTTCTCATCCAGATCCACATGTTGCTGAGTCATATGAGCTCTTCTGGTATAGGATCCTTGTATATGGGGCTTTTACACGAGCAAAGAAAATAATGTCATTGCATAATTTCTATCAAACCATTGAACACGACATAATCTACAAGTTAAAGTAGTTATATGTAAGATGTTCATGTCAAGTCATCATTAAAGGGCCTTTATTTGTCAAAAGGCATTAATAAAACCTGCTCTTTTCCAATATTTCTTTAACTGATAACAGTAGTTCAGAGATATTTGAATTTCTAAATTACTTTTCCCGCCTCTAAATCTTGTTATTGTTTTCATCTCAATGTCCCGCCCTCCACCGTTTCACCAATCAGAAAGTCTGTGATCCGGGCGTCTCACTGGTAAAGTACCATGTGGCGCAGAACTAATAAAGGTCTCGTTATGATTCTCAAATCATTAACGACAAAACAAGGAATAAAACCAGGATTTCTATCTTTGTGAAAAAGGTGTTGGTTATGGATTTGTTGTTGACAAAACTCAATGAGAAGCCTGTGAGCGAGTTGGGGGCAGAGCTAAACATTAAAACTGAAAAAAAAAACTGCAGAAACAGGTATAGCTCCTTTAAGATAAAATTTCATTCTACAAACGTTTCATCTACATGTTTTTTCTTTTTTTAAGTAATAATATAATGATTTTTGTTTGTGAAGCAATTTTAAGGGCCACAGTATGAATTGTTCCTTTATAAATAAATTGGATTGATAGTGACGCATATCAACCTTTTACTTTCCGGAAGCAATTTTTAACATCAAACTGAGCATTAAGCAAGCTTTACAAAAAGAGTATGTTCAAACGCATCTTATTATCTTTAAGAAGTAAAAACACACAAACAAAACTCTGAATCTGCCATGTTTTTAGGGACTTAAACTGCTAATTTACACCAAGCCTGTAATCTTAGTTCTTACAAAAGCAGTGACTAAAATGCCTCTTTGGTGTAGTTTCTCCAAGACTTTTATTCTGTGTTATATTCTCATTTATTCCACCAACCCAAATCCATCTAAGCACCACTCGTCCCCTGCTTTGATTACGCCACTTCTGAATAAAACACTGGTTTGATGACAGCGTGAAAAGGAGAAGGGTGTGATTGAAACGGGCAGATCATGGTGTATCTAAAGCGTGCGAATCTGTAAAATACAAAGCCGAAGGTTTGGCCGGAGGTAAGTGCTAGTGACAAATGTTCTCTGCACGCACATGTCGCACTGCGTTAACTCCCAAGGACATTAACCGGAGCCCGCGGCCGAAGCCTGCAGCCACAACACAACTTCATCATTGAAAAGTCAACATCTTTCAGCGGACAGAGCAATGCCGACCGATCGTATGAATGTTGGGGCAGTTGTGGCAGTTGCAGTATTTTTCCACCGTCGTAAACTATTCATATTTTTTTATCATTGATTTCAGGCAAATATTGTGTCACGGATTTCTTAATGCATATGGTGTGTTTTCTTTATATTCCTTAATAATCAAAGGATATCATACAAATAAGTGCAAATTAGAATAGAAATAGATGAGATTAACGTGTGTGTTATCAAAAATGTTTTTAAAAAGATTGAATTTTGTCAACAAAGCAATTTTTTTCAATACATTGTGATTCCTGTGGCGTATCTGCTAAACCGCAGATATTTGTCTTTGTTTGCACCTGTCATCCACATGACAACGCATCATAAACGAATATATAGAAAAACTCCAGGCAAAGTGGAGATTTTTGAAAACTTTATGCATTTGCGTATAGGCAGAGATAGCCGGAGTTTTGCGTTTTCGCACGCCACAGTATGCTCCAAAACAACAACAAACAAAACGTGTGACCTCTAATTCACTGAAGCATGGATCTTACTACCTTTAAAAAAATTTGCTGCTGAAACCATAAGAAACCATAAAGTGATCAGCAAAGTGATCACAGGGACTCACGCTCCAAAACAACCAAAACAGGAGCTAAACCAGGATTAAACCAGGATTAAACCAGGATTAAACCAGGGCTGAGGACGGGGGTCAGTGCTTGTAAACATATGTCTTCACCATGGATCTATAACACAAGTTGACAGCCAAAAAATGGTCAGGGGTTTCTCAACTGATTCAGACTAATGTTGGTGTTCTGAGTCTGAATATCACATGCATGTTGCTCTATCAGGTCAACTTTGTGAGATACAACCATAGTGTTACGGATTATGTACGTCTACGTTATTATGAATTCTGCTTATCAAATTTGATGGAGTAAATAAAAACTGAATAACTTTGGATAAGTTGACTTTTATTTCTTGAGGAAAACGGACAAAACGTCAAGGGTTTCTCAGCTGATGATCCGCAGAAATTTGTTTTTTACGCAAAATCGATTTAAAAAAATACTTCTGTAGCAAAAAAGTCCTGACCTGATTGAGCAAAACCAAGGTCATTTTCGGACTCAGAGCCTCAAAATTAGTCTAATTCAGCTGGAAAACCCTGAACTGTTTTCAAAATATATTTTTTTTGTTACCCAGTGTAATCTGTCTTCACCCTGAGTTTCTACTGTGACTGTAAAAGTGCCGCTACAGAAATATTGGCGTCTACATCAAAGCTCCGCCCACTTCTGTGTTTTTCCCCGACACAGGACGTCAGAGGACGCACATGTTTGGAATGTTAAGAATGTGATTGAAAACGCAGATGTTCTGTTATATGTGGATGCAAAATGTTTTATAAACGGAGGGGGGGAAATATTTGGTTTTAAAAATACCCGGCTACGTGTTGTCATGGCCTAACACAACTCTGCAAAATGGCAACAAATATAATGACTCTAATTCCAGAATGAAAACACAAATACTGCTTTTTGTACAACAATATTAAAACAATTAACATTTTCATTGTTGACTAAAGTGGATCATGTCGCACACTAAAATGACTTCTTGGTGAGGTGCGAATGGGAAAGGATCATTTCAGGAGTAAAAGCGCTGCACACTCAAAGACGCAGATGTCAAAATAAATATATTTTCTTAATGATACTTCTATCGTAGCTCTCATGAGATCATCTTTTGGATCACAGAACAGTAGACTGATTCATAAATTATCCTTAAGTGCTCTCATTAAGCTCCCATTTTACACTACCGCTGATATTAACGGCTTATTAACCGAGCGCGAGGTCTGTACGGAAAAATATCAGACCACAGCCTTAATGTACAGACCGAGCCGTGGCGAGGTCTGTGCAAAAAGGGCAAGGTCTGATATTTCTCTGCACAGACCGAGCAAGCGAGGTTAATAAATGTTTTATTATGACTCTCGTCTGTGTCGTTACCAATGCTTTTGAGATATTTGTGAAGTATGTTCATGTCCGACTTGGTTTTGTGTGATACGCGCTGCGGACAGATTGTCATGGTAACGGCCCGAGATGGGAAAATATCAGACTATAGCTGCGTTTCCATTGAATAATGCGCAAAAACTTTTTCGATACATTTCAAAATTCGAAAAACCTGTAATTCGCAAAAGCGGCCGTTTCCATTAAGACATATTCGAATAAGTATACACTATTTTCGCGCGTTTATTCACTAGTTTCTAGTACGTCAACATGGCAACAGAAGTAAACAACACTTTGATTTACGTGAGATATATTAATGTCTTGACTTCTGCTGCGGCTCTCATTCTCTCTGACCTCTGACCCCGGGAGAAACTGTGGCTGCTTTGACAGCTCCGCGAACGCGCATGGTCATGTACTGAGCGCGGACCAGACGCGCGCACAGAACCATAGACACGGGTCTTGCCTGTCTCCCCCGTCTCTCCCCCGTCTCTCCCCCGTCTCCTCCCCCGTCTCTCCCCCGTCTCTCCCCCGTCTCTTCCCCGTCTCCCCCCCGTCTCCTCCCCGTCTCTCCCCCGTCTCTCCCCCGTCTCTCTCCCATCTCTCCCCCGTCTCCTCCCCGTCTCTTCCCCGTCTCCCCCCCGTCTCTCCCCCATGCCTCTCCCACGTATCTCCCAAGTCTCCACACGAAGCGCAGCCAAAACTCACTGAATAAAGCAGCTCGGCTTCCTCCGCTATATCGAAATAAGTGTTTCCATTGCCGTTTTGCGAAAAACTTAATTTCGATACGTCCAAAAGACCCCACCTATTTTTAACGGATTAACTTTATATCGAAAAACTGTGGTTTATTCGAAATTGGCGCGTTTCCATTAGACATTTTATGATGCGCACATTCAAATTTCGAAATTTGATGCTCAATGGAAACGCAGCTAATCAGCCAATCAGAGCACGCATACGGTCCAAGTCATATAATAAAAGCTTTTATTTTCTTAATTTATGATTCATGGATTTTTCACAAGTCAAACTTATCATTTTAGTCGATTTTAATAAAAGTTTCAGAACAAGATTTCCCGTTCTCTCTTGTTCTTCCTCTGATAAAAGCAGCTACAGGTTTGGCTAACATGCTGTACATATAATACATTTTAAGATGATTTAAAAGCCACTTAGGGTAATGTTATGCTTCCAATGACGATAGGAATAAGAAACAGAGGTGAAGGGAAGAAATTGGATGCACCAGAGAGTCGGCTGCAGCGAGACGCGACAGGAGTCTGGTCGAGACACCTGTTTTGTTTTACTTTTTAAAACTCGTTGGACTTTTTTACAAATGGAGGATTACTTTTCCGACCTCAAACTATAATCTGGACCAAAAAATGAAACAACTGATATACATCTCCTTTTATTTTCAAAATTTATGATTCACGGATTTTTCACAAGTCAAACTTAAGATTTTAGTCAACCAACACGTTTTTCTTCTTAACAACACCAATTAAGTAAGTAAGTAAGTAATGTTTATCTATATACTGTAGCGCATTTTACAGACCAAGGTACAGACCCAAAGCGCTTTACAATGTTCAGAGTCAGATATTGTTCCAATCCTTCCACACACGGTGATGACAGAAGCGAGTCCAGAACACACTGAACCATCAGCTCCAACACCATCCATTCACTCTCTCATTTACATTAATGTTCATGTTTTTAGTGGTAGGGGAAACCGGAGCACCCGGAGGAAACCTACGCAGACACAAGGAGAACATGCAAACTCTACTCACACTCACCACTCCACTCACTCCACCCCACACTTCCGCCCCTGTTCCGACTGGAATTCGAACCCAGGACCTTCTTGCTGAGAAGCGAGAGTGCTTATCCACTCAGCCACCGTGCCGATAATAATTAATATAAAAAAATTATCTTAATGCAGATTTCCAACACCTAAACATAATATACTTTAACATTAAATCATTTTCTCTGCAGACGTTGGCCGCACATGAGTCAGAAGTCCGTTTTGATTTAGCCGCTCTGAAGTGACCACATGTCTTGGTGCCAGTGCGGTGCGTCATACCCAGAACAGCAGCTGTGCCACGGCGCCTTGTGCCAAACGCAGAGGTGCCCAGATGTGTCGATACAGGGCCGTGTGCACCATCCCGGGGTCCACGGCACATGAGCTCACGGGGGACCCTCCTGCGGTGAGCTCCTCCTCCAGCTGCAGACTGAACACCAGCAGGGCCAGTTTACTGCCACAGTACGCACCGTGGGCTGAATAATAGTCGCTGTAGAGACAAGGGGAGGGGATTTAGGGAATAATTAGAGCAAGCACCTGCTGAGATAATAATAATCATAAATATAAGCAATCAGAGCTCCATTCTCTCGTCAGTTATACAAAATGATATGCTGAAAGACTGTATAATTCAAAAGATTAGGTCCAAAATAGGAATGCATGTGATCATTTGGAGTATTTTAAGTAACAAGCTAAAAACATTTTTTACATAGTTACATGTTTGGTGGTATGAACGTTAGGTAGCCGAGCTTTAAAAGACATAACCTTGTGATACAATGGAAGATACGTGCAGTCAGAATTACAAATATGAGCTCAAACTAGTATCTGGACTTGGACTTTGAAGTGGTGTATGGGGTTCATGGATAAGGTAAGGCCTAAAATGTGCTTTTTACAAATTTTGTAAAAGCTAAAAATTCAGACATGAAATATATTCTGCTGTAGCCAAACAGATTGTGAAAAAGCCGTTCTGTAGGTCCTGTTGACTTATGTGATATATATGTCCATCTGAAGGAGGTCAGTGCCTCACAAATCACCAACCTCACCCTACAACCAGGGCCTGTAATTATTTTGGGCAGCAGTTTGGCCACCGGAGGGAAGACCTTATTGAATTTCTCCTTTGGGTATTAATTAAATTGTTTGAATTGAATTTCACTAAATAGGAGTGAAGAATGAGCCACCTGAATGCTGCACTAAATGAGCCACTTGGACTTAGAGAGAGAGGGTAGAAAAGGTTAAATTACCGGCCATGTTCCACTTAACTGGTCCAAAAGTGAAAATGCTGAGTTCATCCTATCATTCTTCACTTACTATTAAGTTTAAGTAGTTTAGTTTATCACTGAATAAAGCAATATCTTCAAGTTCCAATAATAAAGCATCTAATGTAAATATTAAACACACATTATAATTTGTAAATGCAGAAGGAAGAAGTATTCATCTTTTCTTAGAACTTAACTGTCTTTACTTCCTGTAGTCTGGTATTTTTAAACTTTTCTTCACAAATGTTAAATCTATCACTAAAACTCTATAGGTGTAAATCTATAACTAATACTTGAGGGAGGTATTACCACAGCAAATAAACTCATCTTATAAAGTTGTGGGAAAAATGTAATGCCGAACAGAGTCGAAATGCATTTATACCTTTTATTGAGGTCATTGAGTGAGATTTCTCCGATGCGATGAGCCGAAGAGGAAACATTTACGACTCGTGAGAAGCAATCAGGCGTTCCGGATTTCTTTAGGTCGTCCAGAAGAAGCCACGTCAACAGGAAGTGACTTAAGTAGTTAACGCCAAAATGCAGCTCATGTCCATCTTCAGTGCGCCCCTTGGGAACCAGCATTATACCCGCTAAAGTACACAAGAAAGTTCAGAATTAGTATAAAAGTAAGTTCATTCCTCAACAAATGTATTAAAATATGAGACCAAATATTGTATAATTTTGAACGCAATGCCCTCTACTACATCATATACAGAAACAAAAATATTTACACATGCTTTTAGCTAGTTTACTTGGACATACATCTTGGAAAATGAAATGTAGAAGTACATTTACAAGTTATTTTTGTAAAATGTTGAGGCACCTGAGTTAATATTATTTGTCTACGTCTCCAACCATGACAAAAATAAACGAACAAATAACGTACAAAAATCAGCTTCTTCTTCATCAAAACAATATCATATTTGCTGCATATACACTACATTAAAATCCTAAAATGTAGTACTGTTTATTGTTTTTATGATGTTAAGTAAAATGTAAATGTGTAGAGACCAAATCAAAGACTAAAGAAGGAGTGGACTAACCCATTACTGACTACACCCTAGTGTTTATCACAGAAGATGTTTTGAGGTAACACAAACACAAACAGGCTTCATGGGAAGGAATCTGCAGCAAAATTCTGGAATATCAACCACAGAGCCAATAGATAAGAAGCCTCTGGGTGGAGTAGGACAGGTCAGAGCAGCAGAGGTGGAGTCGCCTCAGGGTGGAGCAGGGTCACCAGGTGGAGCAGCCGCTTGGTTCTGACCATTTTCTCTGCTCTAGGCCAAAGTAAAATGCCAAATGCGTCATTAGCATTTTTCATAAAGTTAGCATTCCTTCAGTGGATTTTCACCTGATCCGCATGGTCGGACCATGAATCCTCTCTGCTCTGGTCCGGACCAGTGTAAAACCATGAATCCTCTCTGCTCTGGTCTGGACCAGTGTAAAACCATGAATCCTCTCTGCTCTGGTCTGGACCAGTGTAAAACCATGAATCCTCTCTGCTCTGGTCTGGACCAGTGTAAAACCATGAATCCTCTCTGCTCTGGTCTGGACCAGTGTAAAACCATCAACACTGTACTGCAGCAACATCCCTGGGTAGAATAAAACAATACAAATAAAAATGTATAAAGCAAAATACAACAGGACTTGCAGCCGTTTTCCAGCGCATTCAAAAAGTGAACTCAATAAGTAAGTTTATGTTCCCGCTTGTGCTACTTGGTTGTTGAAGCAGTTATTATGGGTTATATCTGGATTGAAGACATTGCCAAAAACATAAACACCACAATCATGTAGAGTCAGAAAACCATGGATTTCTACATCCCAATGCACACCGGGGTAGTCTTGCACAGTTTTTCCAGTGTGGTTTTACTGCAAATGGCAAATAAATGAATCTGAATCTGAATCAATGTAAGTGAATGGAAAACAAAATGAGACGAAGCAAAACTTGACCTATAAGAAAAACTCAAGCTCGTGGGTTAGTATTGTCCATCCATAGATACAGCCAAACAAGCTGGATTTCACAAACAAAACTGGCAACCCAAATGAGAGACCCAGGTGACGGTGAGACTTAGACCACAGTCCAAGGTGTGCAGTGAGCCAGGAGTAATGCTTCTCTTCTTACCATTATTGACAAGGATGTGTAGTGGCAGGTGTCTGTTCTTAAAGCGCTGGACAAAATGGCGGACGGATTGTAGCGAGCCCAAGTCCAGAGTCTGAAATTCAACTGCAACAAAGAAAAATACAGAAGAACCAGAGTGAATTAATTATTTCTGCTGCTTTTTCCTAGCGGCCAAACATGAAAGAGACTTTAAATTATCTCCACAATGGCCTACTTCACTCCAGAACATTACATCAAGCTGAAGCCATTTTCAAAACTATCAAAAGGTTAACTTCAAAATCATGATGTGCATTTGATTAGAAGCAGGTATTGGAAAGTATTTTAATATTCTCTTTGAGGCAGCAAGAAAGTCCTAAACCTTTACTGCTGGATGTTATCACTCTTTGGAGAAGTGTTACTGCGACCTGGGTTCTGTTTAGAGATTATTCTTGGTGTTTGTGGTGACTGTGGATTCATCATCTATGGAAAAAGATTAGATAAGATAAGATGAGGTAGACTTTAATGATCTCACACAGGAGAAATTTACATTTAAATGCAGGATATAATATGTACAATAAAAAGGTCATCAAGAAACAGTGTCAATAGTAGTGCAGGTTTTTCAGTCCTAATCCAAAAATGACCCTGACAAACACACAAAAACAGGTGTAAAATAGTTTTCATTTGGATCTAGGATTACACCAGACTAATCCACAGGCTGAAAATGGGATTTATTTTATCATGCAGACCTTTCACTTCAAATGTGTACACCTCATCTTGGAAACGTGTGGTAATGTTCTTTACCGAAAAGAGATTAGAGATTTAAACTGAGGTTCCTAATGTTTTTGTTCCATAACTAAGATAAGATAGACTTTATGAATCTCACACTGGAGAAATGTCACTTTGGCAAAAATAGAATCACTTAAGATTTGTGTTCAAACATGTTTGAGGCAAAAATATATTTTGTTCAGGAATTAAAAACAGTAGCACTAACAAGCGCAGGTTTTTTCAGTCCTAGTGCATGGCTTAAAGTGACTTATTGTACGGTCTTTAACTGAAGGAGCTCCTCAGCTAATCAATCAATCAATTTTATTTATAGAGCCCCGTACAACACTCAAGGCGACCAAAGTGCTTTACAATAAAATCACATAAAATCCATTAAAACATTTATGCAATCAAGCAATAAAACAGTTAAAAAGCATCAAAATTGTCACTGTGCTAATGATATTTTGTTTGTTCAAGGATCTTGTAAAGAGCAAGGTCAAAAGACGTGCGGGAGACAAAAATGAAATCCCTTTGGAGAACCAGAAACAGCTGTTCGGCTGGTTGAGCGAGTCTCCTCTGAGCTGAAGGTTGGCAGTTCGAATCCTGCTCCCCGACAGAAACATCATTGATCAACTGACCCCAGGTCGACAGGTATGAAACAGACTTCCACTGATGAACGCTGCTGTGTGTCCTTGGAGAAGACACTTAACCCACATCACCCCCACTGTCTGCGTACAAAGGGTCTGAACGTGGGAGTAAAGGGTTCCTAGATGTGAAGAGCTTTGAGAGACTTATAAGCTAGTGTAGGGTGAGAAAATGTCGATATCACACATAACTTAAGTTATGTACCTGATATCGGAGAATTGGATAAAAACAACTATGTAATAAATACAATAATTGATAATAGCTTTATTTAGGGGCACCAGGGAATAACTCCCAACTGATAACGTGCATATGACGTCACAATATCAATTAATTGGCTCATTTATTGATTAAGTAATCTCATGAGTCCTTTCATTATTTAATTAGCTAATTAGTCCAATTCTCTTCAATAGAATCTGAAGGTAGTGAATTCTTTTACAAATCAGTGACCCAGTTTCTGGAGTTAAAAGTACAAATATCACTTTCAGACAAAGATGGTTTTGTAGATTTAATGAAGTATACACAATACAGACTAGATATGAAATATGCAAATTGTCAAGAATAACATGAAGGAAACGTTGATTTCAAGATACATTGTTAAAATGCTAGGCTAAAGTGAGCTAAGCAAGACCTTTGTCTATGAATGGATTGGTATAGGCTGAGGCCTGCATGTGTTCAGCCTTGGTAAGAGAAGTATTCTTTGAAGTATCCATCCATCCATCCATCTTCTTCCCCTTAATCCATTTCTGGGTCGGGGGGGGTGGCAGTCAGAGCTGCACCCAATTCACTTAGCACCAGCCCCTCACTGATCCTCTGCAGGTGGTGAGTCCACAGGAGGACGGCTGCTCTGTCAGTGACAATACAGCCTTGATTTTTCAGCGGGGGGTTCAGGCAATGCAGGGTTAAGTGGCCCTTCTTTGAAGTATAGGTTTTAATAAAGCCAACAACTGTGTGTAGCAAGAGAGAAGATCATACAACCAGAATAGCCTTTGGTGAATAGCAGTCCTTGGGTCTTGATGGTGTTGGATGGAGGCTTCTTGTCCACGGGGCCTGGACCATGCGGCTGCATCATGTGGTCCTCCCACGATCCACAGTCTAGGTGCCAAAACTCAGCAACTTCTTCAGGTTGAATCTGGAGGCTATTGAAGGGTTGTGGAAGTCCTCTCAAACGTGGAGCTGAGGGTTGAGGCCATCTAAGAGGCCCAAAGCCCCTTGGTTGCCTGAGCAGAGCCCAGGGAGGTTTGGTCACTCCGTGGTTCCAAAGCAGACTGGTTTGTCTTCCCTGTGGGTCCTTGTAAGTTTTCACATCTGGTAGAGTCGTTGGGGGAAGTGTGTTGCCATGGCACTTATCTTAAGACATTCTTACCCACAATAAAACCTGAACCACAAGGATTTACACACAGTGGAGACAGAAGTTATAATATGTCTCAATATACAACAAAATGTCTTTGATTGAGGAAAGAGGTCATTTTAATTTATCCTACAACCCCCCCCTTTTGTGTCCAGCTCCGCAAACAAAGCGAGAGGTTGACACAACATAATTTTGAAGCAGAGCTCTCAGCAGGAAGTAGAGCTCTCAGTAGGAGGCGGAGCTCTCAGCAGGAAGTAGAGCTCTCAGTAGGAGGCGGAGTTCTCAGCAGGAAGCAGAGCTCTCAGTAGGAGGCGGAGCTCTCAGTAGGAAGTAGAGCTCTCAGTAGGAGGCGGAGTTCTCAGCAGAATGCAGAGCTCTCAGTAGGAGGCGGAGCTCTCAGTAGGAAGTAGAGCTCTCAGTAGGAGGCGGAGTTCTCAGCAGGATGCAGAGCTCTCAGTAGGAGGCGGAGCTCTCAGTAGGATGCAGAGCTCTCAGTAGGAGGCGGAGTTCTCAGCAGGAAGTAGAGCTCTCAGTAGGAGGCGGAGCTCTCAGTAGGAAGTAGAGCTCTCAGTAGGAGGCGGAGTTCTCAGCAGGATGCAGAGCTCTCAGTAGGAGGCGGAGCTCTCAGTAGGATGCAGAGCTCTCAGTAGGAGGCGGAGTTCTCAGCAGGAAGTAGAGCTCTCAGTAGGAGGCGGAGCTCTCAGTAGGAAGTAGAGCTCTCAGTAGGAGGCGGAGTTCTCAGCAGGATGCAGAGCTCTCAGTAGGAGGCGGAGCTCTCAGTAGGAGGCGGAGGCGAAGTTCTGCTGTAATAGAGCTCTATTGCTCATGTCACAGAGTTGGCTTTTAGTTTGTCCTAACTGTGTTTGAGACAATGCCAGGAGTTTTATAGCTAAGTCTGTGTGTATGCTCTATCTAGAGTTCACTGGAGTGGTTTTATTCAGATTAACTGGTAAGAATATTTGTCTGAGCTTTTCCATTCTTCGATGGAGATGGCTAAGGCTATGGTAATAGCTGGAGGCAAAGATGATTGTATTAGCTAATGCTAGGCTAGTAGCTGGAAGCTAATATCTGTAGCTATATGCTGTTATAATTGACAATAGAGAATTTATAAAATTTAATCTTCAAACAATTTGGAGTGTTGTTGAGGGAGGATACTTTCACTGAGACAATTCAACGTGGAGCCAAGTCTTACTGGCTTGATTTTGCCGCAATAATGACTCGTATTTGAGAATAGATTTTCCTAGAAAAGTGACTTTGAATCTCAGATATTCTTCTGTTTACTCTTTTGGTAGAGCGAAAGTATAAGCAAATACGCGCAACTGGAAATTATTAACCAGTGGTGGCTCGTTTTACAACTTGGTTTGACGATTTACATGCTGGACTTACTTGCAGCGATTTTTGCTTAACCGTGCTTGTGTGGGTAGCTAATCTCACATACAGGTCTTTTGCTAAAGGTTAACGGAGAGTCGCGTTAGACCTAGCTTAAAGATCGTGGGGGTGTTGATCGGGCCCTGGACATCGCAGGTTGCCACTTACATTTACACCGAGACCCCTTTGCTCGAGGGTTTACACGCTGGGGCGTACTCGCAGCGATTTACGTAAAACATGCCTGTGTGGATGGCTAGTCCCACTTCAGGATCTATTGCTAATGGATAACGGAACGTCGCGTTTAGTCATAGCTTTGAGATCAGGCGGTGTATTGAACGCCCCTGGAAAGTCGCAGGTGGTCATGTTCATTTACACTCTATGCCTCTTGGTTTTAAGCTTTACACGCTGGAAGTCACTCGCAACCATTACGTCTTGAACTAAGTAAAGGAATAGCGCGTGAATTTGCAGGTGTGGTTTTTGGAGATGTTGTTCGAGCACAAAGCCATTAATGACTCTGTAAACTCTGCTGTCATCTCTAAAGCCTAGCGTACATCGACAGAGAAACTGGGGACAACTAGTTGCAAGGCGGCTTTTGGCAACTGAGAGGAGATGGTGGGAGATGATCAGTTGCCGAAATCGGTCGATGTGCGCGCTCTTACAACTGGAGATGATCAGTCGGTCTCCAGTTTCAGTCAGTTGCCCGTGTTCTACTTTTCGGCAACTAGTTGTCCTCAGTTGCCCCGATGTGCGCGCTCCATGCGCCGCTCCAACAACGTGTGTGTATTGCGTGTATTGCGAGCCCGCAACAGTTTGTTGTCAGAAAACACACTGTAGTTGAGGCCAGTTGCTGTCGATGTACGCGCTGTTATTCAAGAGACTGGCCTGCGACTCAGAGTTGCCCGTTTTCGCCAGATTGTCGATGTGTGCGGGGCAGCAACTCAGAGGCGACGGATATAATCAGTTGCCAGTCCGATGTACGCTAGGCTTAACCCTTCTTGACCTC